GAAGTGTATCAATTATATATCCTGTGTATACCACTTATGTCACAAAACACCAATGTATAATGGTTTAAACATTATTTTTAATTTTTCTTTTTACTGTATTTCATGTCTTTCCACCTTAAGACCTGATTCTTTAAAATGCATTAAATTAGAAGATTTTTACCTTGTAAGTCCTTATGGCTAGGGATCTACCTAAGGGATTTTTATAGGCCACTCAGCACCTATAGCAGATTTCACAGCCTTTTTGTGGCAAGACCGCCTCTCACCACTTATTGGCTAAAGGGCCCTGGTGCACCCGCCCCTCACTGTTGATTGGGTGACAGGTTGTCCATCAAGGGCCAGATGCAGTCCTGCCCCTCACCATTGATTGAGTGAGAGGGCTGTCCATTGTGCAGCCCTGCCCTTCACTGCTTATTGGCAGAGAGGGGTGTGGCTATACAATGGGTAGCCCTCCCAGCCAATCCGAGGGATGGGGGTAGCTGCCACCTTGGCTGCTCTTTGCACCGGCGGCTCCCCTGTGGGCTGTGAGGCCAGGCCACTGCAGTCGTGAGGACCACTGCTCTCCCACTGGGGAGTCAGCATTTTCTTTTTAGTAAAGTTTTTTGTTTTGTTTTGTTTTGTGTTTTAATTTCATGAATTTTATGGACAATGCCTGACTTCACAGTTTCCACAAAATCGCGAATTAAGTAGGTCCCTATTTCTGACTTATGTTAGTATGTCAGTCTTACTTTTATAAATGGAGGAACTCCAAAATATCTTTGTCTAATCAATTCTAAAATGCATCTAACCCTTCTGGTCCTGCAGGCTGGCTGAGTGGTGTCAGGCTAGTCTGCAAGCCAAATCCAGACTGCGGAGCTGTGTCATCTGACCTTTGGGGTTGCAGTTGACTGGCAATAGTGTTAACTGCTGTGGCTTCTGGAGCCATAGCAGCTACCACTTCTCCTGCTGCCAGTTTTTCAGCCCGGTGGGCAGCCCCAAGGGCCAGATGACAAAGCTCTGCACTCTGGGTCTGGCTCACAGGCCTGGAAATTTGGTGGCAGGATAAGGAGCAGCAGCAGCATCAATTGCTGTGGCAGTTAATGCTGTCACCTCTTGCCACATTTCTAGAGATGCAGGGAACCCTGTGGGCCAGATGACATAGCTCTGTGGCCCAGATGTGGTTCATAGGTCTCACCCCTGGGGTAGGATATGTGGCATCTGTAAAATTGGTGATGCCATGCATGATGTGCCATAAAGGTTTCCTTAACTTTTGCTTATGGTGTTCTCTAGAATTACTAGCTTGTAGTATTTTGGAGATATCAGTCATCCTGGTAAAATTTGTACGATATATCGCATCACCAGGTATTCTCTTGATTTAGTTTATGTTGATAGTAAATGTCTAGAATCATTATAAAATGTCTTTCTGTCTTCTTGCATGGAATCAAAAACCCACAGCTAGATCTGCCTTAGGAACCTCTGGGCTTGTACAGATTCAGTAGACTGAAAAAGCTTTATTTGTATATTTTATTTGAATGCTATCTTTTCAATAGCTATTCATGTCCTTTTATATATTGTTAGATTTTAATTTTTTTTATCTTCCATTTTCCTGAAAAGAAAAATTAAGCTTAAAACTGCTAAAAGCAAACAAAACGCACAAAAAAATCCAATCCCCAAGAGACTGGAAATGCAAATGTGATTTCTCATGTAACTGAGCTGATTGTCATACAAGTAACTATTCTTGTATACACTTCACTCCTTATAAAAAGCTGCAGTACTTTTTCTTTTTCTTCATATTTGAGTAATATTTTATAACAGCTTATGTAATGTATATGTTTGTACTGCATTAGTTTGATTTTTTTTTTTATAAGAATATCTAGCAAACGTTCTGATATTATTTACACTGAGTTTTACACTTACAAACTCAAGTGATTTACTCCTGCTTTGGACCAGTGAAAGTAAAATTAGAATCTAAGTGCATAGTAATTCTTTCTACCTTTAGTTCAACTTTACATATAATGAGGGCAACAAAGAGTTGGGACATTTTAGGAACCTCCACAAACTTTTGAAATAGCTTGTAAAAATTGCAGTGCTATGATTGTAGGGTTGTATGATGTAGGCCTCAGCCCTACTCACCATCCACTCCAACAGGACTGCCTATGTACTTAAGGATAAACATGAGTCCAGCATCTCATAGCCTGTCAGGAACAGATGCAAGTGCTGTATCACATTGGAGAGGGGGAACCCTCAGCCCCACCTTTTAATTTGCATTCTGAGTTGAAATTCACAAGCTCCTGGCTGTAGCTTTCAGAGGATTATGGAGAAATAGGGCTGTAAGGGACATTACAGGGTCATCTAGTAAAAGTGTATGATGTAAAAAGAGTGTTTCTAACCACAATCAACCTATTTCAATCATTGAATTAAACCCTACTGATAATACAGCAACTCGCTCATTTGCTGTACTGCTCACCCTTTTGTTAGCTGACAGTGGGACCTTCACAATTTTGATAGCATATGCATTTGCTTAGAAATATATCAATCCATTTTGTTGACATCTGCCTTTTAAAAGGACAGTTGCATGAAGTTTTGATTCTTGGAACACTAAAACCATAATTTTTGTAAAAAGGGCAAACAGTGAAATCTTAATGTTGTTAGTTTATTTTCTATTTTAATTTAGGACAAATACCAAAAAATAGTGTTGCTATCTGAACCTCTGCTTTGAGGCACTAACTGAACAATAGTAGGATTCAGCATTTGAGCTACAGCTGTGATGCACTAGCTGTATTTTTGCCACATCTAATACTTTGGTCCAGCAGTCCATCTATCTGAGTTTAGTTGGTTGTAAATTTTTCAACAAAAAGCATTTTCCACTGAAAACCACTGTCACTGAAAATAGAAGGCTTATTATGAAAATATACAACAATACTTTGATCATCCAGCTTCTCAGCTCTGGGACTGTGTTTCTAGTCAAACAGAAAATAAATGCCCTATGCCAGAATAGCCACTAGCCTAGTGGTTAGAGCACTTGCCTAGAATGAAGGAGACCAGGGTCAAGTCCCTTTTATGCCTGATTTAGAGCGTTTGAATCTGTGTTTCAGGAGTCCTAACTGAGTACCCAAGCCACCAGTCTTTTGGGTTTCTGAGTCAGTCTGCTAGTAATTTGAAATAAATTGGTAAATATTAATAAACCCAGAGAAAAAGAGGCTTTACTGGGGCATAAGCCTGGGACAGCAACAATACAGGGCCTGCCATTTCCCTGGTCAAGGCCCTAACTATTGGTTTAAGGACTATGCTGAGAAATCTGGGAACTTGACTGCTCCATGTCAGTGGGTGTGCAAAGATCTTTGTTTCCTTTTCTCTATACTGTCTGGAGGCAGATAGTAACCGTCTAATATTTAGCTTTGTCCTTCTGCCCTTCTAGTCTTCTTTCTTATATCCCCAGTCTAAGAACAGGAAGAGAGTAATGAGTTACATTAGTTGGTGGTGAGTTTTTTGCTTTCTCCAGGCATGTTTGTTTGTGTCCATGGCAAAAGGTGGGTCTTTCATTTTGTCACCAATGCTAGGGACAGACATTACACATATACCAGTTTAAGTGATCAAAAACTGGTTTAAACCTGTAGCAGAACAGATGTTCAGTACACATAAACCAGTTTGAAAATGGCTGAAACTGGTTTGAGATAAACCTGGTTGAATGTAGTATCAGACTTAACTGATTTGGGTAAAACTGGTTTATGCAATGTCCATCCCAGACCCCTTGCTGGTTTAAGTTAAACCAGACTCCCCCAGCATCCTGCGTGCTCTCTGGGCTGGGTGGAGCTCTCTGCTCCACAGTAGAGCTGGCCCCTCCCCTCTGTTCCCTGGCTGGAGCTTGGCAGAGACTGCAGGCATTTGCCTAGCTTCCCCCTGCTCACCTCCTCCTCTCCCCACTTCTTGCTAAGCAGGGTTCTCCATCCTCTCTGCTTTACACAGACACCTCTCAGCATTAACTAGCAGACCATATGCTGGCTATGGTTCGTGTTGTGGCAGAGAGGACAAAGGCAGAATCAACAGGTAGCTGGTAATGTCCCTCTGTTGTTTTCTTAATGGGATGATAAACACTGAGTAAGGGGTGATAAACACTGTTATCAGTTCCCTGCTGAGCTGGTCACAAAAGTGGGGGGGAACCCATCCCTAATCAGAGCATTCTGCTGGGGCTGGCCATGCCCCCCTCAGCTCAGTACTGTGGAAAGGGATGGAGGGCTGCTCTAACACCCCCTGGCTTCTAGCCTGAGCCACTGCAGGCATGTGCCTGCATTTCTGGGACATCTGTACAGTTCCAGACTGGTTCAGCCTAGCCAGGTTAGACTAACCTGCAAAGATTGAATCAATTTAGGCTCAGGCTTTTTGAATCTCTATCCCTAGCCCATGAGGTCAGGGTTATAAGAATAGGCTTTTGTAGAAGCAAATTACATAGGCAGACACTGGCCACTGAAAAAGCTACAGCACTGACAATGTCCCCAGAAAAACCAGAAAATGAATTTTCTTCTAATATAACTTTTCATACTGAATCTCAGAAATGGTGGTCTGATGGTTAAGCCATGGATTTGGAGCCAGGAGCCTGGATTGTACTCTGAGCTTTGCCATAGCCTTGCCACATGGCTTAGTCCAAATTGCATAGCCATAGACGATGCGTAGAGGGGAGACTGGGGAGCACGTGCACCCCCTGAGATTTGCCCTTGCTGGCCAGGGAGTGGGGGCACTGAGAGAAGTGCCAGCAGCACTTCTGGTTTTGCCACTGGCACTTCTGGGTTCGGCGATCTGCCACTGGTGCCCCCTGCAGACTCAGGAGGCACCAGTTGCCCATGCACACAGCATCACTATACCTTAGTTTTCTTATCTGTAAAAGGGGGATTAATGTTTGCAAACAGGTTTGTGATCCTTGCTTGAAAGTTGCCATAGCAGTGTAAAGTATTACTTAATATCAACCTTTCTATTTTGGCTTCCAAGAAGATTAAGGCATTTTGCTCATAAATCTTTGTTTGTTGCAGTGATAAGCAATGGCACAAGTTAAAATGCAGACCCCAGCAAATCTTCCTGGACCTCCCCTGTCCCCTGTGGTGCTACCCCCATCAGTAACGACTACAAATTCACTGGGTCTTCAGTCATCAATGAATGGATCCATTTCAGAATCAGCTGCTGGCTGTAACAGTCCTACAGTTGGCCTTGTAGATTCTGCACCTTCTAGCAACTCACCAGGTAAGGAGATGTTTGCTTTGGATATATTTTCTTTCTTGTGCAAGTGAATCCACCCAGTCAGTTTATAATAGCAATGCATTAGGTCCTAAAGAGAATAAAACTAAAGGTACAAAATTCTATAGAAAAACATTTTATCTAAAAAAGATTGTTTACTGAATTTTGTTTTAGTTGAATTCAGATTTACAGTAGAGTGTTTTTATGTGATAAGGGGCCCCAGAAACGAACATACCTATTTTGCCACCTCTTGACTATATCTTTTATTAAGTAGTTATAGTACTGCAGGAAATTATCCAAGTGTATTTTCCTTTCCTAGAACAGAATGTTTTCAGTCTATTTGGCAGCAAATGGTGTTTCCTTTGTAGCCTAATAAATGCTGTAGTTCCTATTCTCAATTGAATATAAAATGCAGTAGAATGTTACCCTAGAAAGTAAGTGAGCAGTAGATGTTTTTGTTAGGGATAGATACGAAAGAGATGAAAGTAGTAATAGGAAGATAAAATATTAAAGAAATGTACAGCACGTACATTGACTAGGTTTAGGAAAACATGAGAGAATTCCTAGAAGGAATGAAAGGATGAAAGCAAAAAGTTGTGCATAGAGTCACTTTAGTTGTAGCAGTCAGAACTGAAAGACAGTCTGAAAGAAAGAGGGTAAAACGAGGAAGGGACTCATCAGCTGTTTGTATTCTGCAGACTTCTTGCTACTCACAGTTGTTTAGAAGTGTTTAGAAATTATACTGAGAGGGCAGTTCATTCCATTCAAGAATAATACGAGACTAATTTTCAGTAACATCATAGAACAAACAGAATATGTCTGTAGAATATGTAAGTGTTTTCAAATACTGACCTCCTTGTAAGGGAGATTTTTTTATTAGTTTTTTTAAATTTTGATTGACATTGAAATGGTCAAATAAAAATATATATTAAAATTATAAATATGTAAATAGTATGTAAACGTATTATTAAAATGCAGTTTTAATGTCCTGAAACCTTTTTGTCATTAAATACTTTTGTATTTAGCAGAATTTTTTTAGCCAAATATTTTGCCTTACTAAGCATACTATTTGTGCAAAGTATTACGAAGTGTAAATGAAGAATGTGTTACTCCACAAAAACTTTACAGACTCTTTATTTACAGCTCCTCTCCAAGATAACATGGCAAACCCCAAAGAGAAAACTCCAATGTGTCTGGTAAATGAGTTAGCCCGTTTCAATAGAATTCAACCTCTGTATAAACTTCTGAATGAAAGAGGGCCTGCTCATGCCAAGGTAAGGTTCCAGTTCCAGAATAAGAACCATATCTTAAGTTCTGAACAGATAATATCATGGTTTAGATAAGTGCGCTTCTTGAATACAATCAGGTTTATAGTATGAAGGGTCTCTCCTGTTTTTGCTTTGGTTTTTATTGTGGTTTGCTTTTTTTTTCTGTCATGCTTTAAGGAAATATTTTTGTGTCCCTGGTGATGCACTGAGGACCATTTTCAATATCTCTGCCTTACTTATAGAGGTCATGCTTGCTGGCCTTCATCTTTTCTCTTAAATGTATTTTCAGAATCTGTCAAGACCTTCCCTAATCATTCAGTGGTGAGGTGCCTAAAGCATACCTTCCTCTCCAAGCCTGAGTGGTCTGCCTCAGCAAAATCCATCCACATCTTTTCTTGTAGTGCAGAGTATTGCTAATAGTTGTGAAGACCAGTTGCTAGGCTGGTCTTTTTCTATTTTGTTGTAATCACTAATCTGTTTGGTTTAGTTTACGTAGATGTGATTTTTAAAGCAAAACATATTTATTACTTTATTTACCTTTAAATGGTGTGTAACCTTCTGGGCTAGGGACAGAAATCACACAAAATTGATACAAGTGACCGGAAACTGGTTCAAATCTTTAACGTAATAGAAGTTCAGTGCACATAAACCACTTTCAAAATGGCTGAAACTGGTTAAGATAAACCTGGATGGTTATAGTATCAGACTTAACTGATTTAGGTTAAAATGGTTTATTGAACTTTTGTCCCACGTCCCCTCCAGATTCAAGTTAACTCTCAGTGCCTGAGCATCTCAGGATGCTTTGCACCTCCCCTTGCAACCCTTTCTCCCCCAACACTTTCCAGGGTGGGTGGGCTAGCCTTGGCTCAAGCTGTCTGTTCTGGCCAGGCAGGGAGGATTGCTTTAGCACCTCCTGGTTTCTGGCCTGAGCCTCTGCAGGCATGTGGCTGCATTTCTGGAATCAAAAGTGTATGTGTGTTCATTTGTTTATCAGTTCAATCTATGCAGCTTAGACTAACCTGTGAAAATTGAATTGATTCAGCTTTGGGCTTTTTGATTGTCTGTGCTTAGCCCTAGAGCCCCACTGTGATATGGTTCCTAATATAATACGTTAAAATGCATAATGAACTGGCCATTAATTTTAGACCGTTCTCGCACCCTGTTTTATTATCCATCCACAATCTGTAAGAAATGAAGGTGGTTTCTTAAGGTATGTACTGACATGAAAGGATTTTCATTTCGTTCTTCATGAGAGCAAACTCGTGAGAAACATGATGGAAAAATTCAGTTCCAGAGAAAAAATATACTCAAGAAACATCTTCTCTTTAGTCTGCATCTTCAGAGGAAAGAAGTTTGGCAGAGAAAATTCTTGTTAATTACATTGAATCTAATCCTACAATTTGGTTCACCTTTCCTAGGAAGTTCTGTGCATCTTCTGCACTTGAGTCTCTGCTGCACCTTGTATAATTTGCCCAATAAAGTGTGTGCAAAGTGCTACCTTTCTGACTTTGCTGATTCGCTCTTGCTTTGCTGTGGTGGAAATATGATGGCCTTTGGTGCAGGGCATGGCGAATCAGAAGGTCCTCAAGTTGAAAACATCCTGCCCTTCCCAGAAGGCACTTAGAATGGCTTTTTGCTATTTCTGTTTTTCTCCCATTACATCTGCTGTGTGCTTCAAATGTTTCACTGTCAGTTCTCCTGATTACATTGTTCTCTTGTGCTGCTTCTGTATACAAGAGATCAAAAACACATCAAGGTGCAAAATAGTTCATATATGTACATTTTAATATTTTTACAAAATTGCTGCTGATGAATAGTTGGGGTCTATCTTAGATTTTTGTATCTTTGGCCACAGTTGCTTTTAGGAATCCCAGTGTTAGCACAACAGAGACTAATGGTAGTGCCTGAAGATTCTGCGTTTCTTTTAGAACGTAGAATTTTTGAAGCTCCTCTGCGCAGATGCTCAGGTGTACAATTTCTTAAAGCGGAGCTATGTTGACTATAAGTGCATCTTTTAGTCTACTTACTACTTACTTATTTATAATTAGTGTGCTCGACGCTTTGCAGACTAGCTTACTACCCAGAAGACTTAGGCTTTTAAGTTTAGACCTAAAATATAAAAAGGAGGAATGTGAAGAAGAACCAAAGATAACATTAATGATCTTAATAACAGAATCTTTGATTCTCTTTGCCTTCTTGAGGAGATCATGTCTAGCTGGTAGCTGCATAGCTTTGGCCACAGTAAGCAGGTATACGCAAGGTTTTATGACACTGTAACCTGTGGTGTATATAGTGCTACTACTAAACATGATGCTCTACAATTGGTAATATATACTAAACAAAGCAAAGTCTCTGTTTCAAAAAAAAGAAACTTACACCCTCAAAACATGTAACTTGTGTTCCCTATCATGGGACTTCCTGCATAGCATACTTCACATTATTTTCTTAAATTTTAGAGGCATTTGTTGCCAGACTTGAACAGTGGCCAGAAGTGGTAGTAAATCCTGTGTTTCCTGTATTAGTTATTCTGCTTTTCTTTTTTGAGCAAGTTATTGTCAACCATTGTGAGATCGGACATAAGGAGGAAAATGACGTCTAAGCTGCCAGAAAGCAGGAATTCCCTTGTAATCTAGTTATGATTTTTAGAAGTTGCCACTTCAGAGGGCCTTATCAGGGTGTGAGTGGAAACAGTGCCTTCCATACCTGTGTTCTTTAGTGCAAGCAAATTGGAATGCCTTCGAGATCCTGAAATATGCTTATGGAGCTTCTTAATCTGAATCAGGTTGTCGAAATTTCCACTTGCCCCATGCTTCCATGTAATTGAGGTCTTAGGAAATACACTGTAATAAAGAGGAAAGGAAAAGTAGATTAGGCAGTGGTGCAAGGAAATGGGAGGGAGTTAAGCAACTCAGCCCCTGGAAAGATAGGGAGAGGAGAGAAAGCTCTCCACAAAGATATAGCAGACCCTATAGAGGCGGAAAGATTCTTGAGGGCTGAGGGAGACTGACTCTGTAAAGACAGTGGAGTGAAACCCCAAAGTGTGACAAGATTTCCATTTCAAGGTTCTTGACCTCATGTAATTAAATTAGATTTAGGAAATAAATCAGAATATTACCCATAATGCATATCAACCCGTTGCAAAACCTTCAGCTTTGGGGCTTCCAGACTTCTGGACTCTAATTTACTATTTTAAACTTTGGGTTTTTTGCCTAGTTTTCTCTCTAATTAAATGTCCATCTCCTCTTCATTTTTTGTAGAAGGTTTCTATAGGAGGGGCTTAAACCTGCTGAATGAAAAAGTTGGATCTGCAGCTATGGCAGTTTACTGAGTTTACCCTTTACTATTTTGAATTCTAGTAGCATAACACCAGGAGTGTTGGATAGAGAGGGAAAGAAAGGGAGAATATCTAGATTAGGAAGAAGACCATTACCAACTTGATATCTTTTCACAGGAATCTGAGACAGTCTTCTATAAACGTCTTACATTGATACATTCTTATATAGTACAGAATATGTAAACTGTAGGTCCAGGAAAAAAACAGTTAAGTTCTTTTGACAATGAGGGTACATACATATATTAAATTTATGTAAAAATGGTGTTTATTGGCTGGTCAATATCTTAAAATAAGCATATGAAAGTTTAATCCATAGTTAGCATTCTGTTACTATTTGTGTTTAATAGAATACAAAGTTAATGACAGTTTTGGGGGTTTTTGGAGGGTTTTTTTGTTTTTGTTTTTGTTTTTTTTTTGTCAGTAATTCTCATTAGAGCTGAGAGGAGTTATAATTCTGGGACATAAGCTAAGATTCTCAGTTATGTATAGGGGCACATTTTAAAGCTGGGCTTAGAAGAAAATGCACTTGCGGATTCAATCTGCCTGCTAATATAAATGTAATATCAAGATGGACTGTTAGATAAACATTCAGCCGTGTTTGAGAGCATGTGTATATGTTTTGTAAGTGCCACATCCATTGCAACTCTGAATATATTACCCATGGTCTATCAAATTGAACTCACTTTAAAAATACCTGGATAAACTAACCAGTGAAACAGCACTTTAGTTCACATTTAGTCTCAGCTGTGTATAAATCTGTGAATCTCCAAAAAGGTAGTATGCTCATTGAGCAAGCATGCTGTCATCAGAAAGCTAAAATTTAATTTTAAGCTGCATAAATTTAAGCAGAGCACAAATATTATTATATCCTCACAATGGAAATATTGTTTCATATTTTAAATATACTTTAATAATTTTTTTTCATGGTTTATAAAGCTTGGATAATCTTTTTTGATAATTTGCTTGCTTGGAACAGTTCTTTATTGCTGATATTTGATTGTTAGAATTGGTCAATAGCCAATTCTCTTATATTTATTTTTCTCCTGAACTTAATTGACAAACTTATGTTAAAAATCTTAATTTAAAAGGCAAAACTTTTTATTCTTATATGTTTTATGTTGTTAAACAGGTACATTGGTTGCTGTGGCTTTTACTCCAACATGCTTTATTTTTGGAAGATGAAGTGAATTAGAATAATACTTTCAGAGCTGATTTTTCACTGCCTTGAATTGGGAATAGCCATGAAAAACAGCTATAATACGATACTGTTCATTTGGTAGCACATTGCACCCACTTCGCACCAATGTGAATGACTGGTTCAAGGCTGTCAAGCTCATAAATTTAATTTTTATATGCCTAAAAATAGAAGACTGATACACTTGTTGCTCCCAAATCTTACAACTCTTCATTTGTGACAGCTGGTGTAAAGTTATGCTTTTTTTTTCTTTTTATATTGAAAGAGGACAAATGTAACCCCCTGATAGGCTTAGGAACCCAGCAGCTTTAATGTAAACCCTATGCAGAATTTGTCTGCATTTGTATAAAGTTTTATAACAAATAAACAAACATAATATAATTTTCTATAATAATCTTGACATTGGTAATAATCTTCCTAGTGTTTACCTGTTCTTTGTTTTTGAAGATGTTCACAGTACAGCTGACTCTTGGCGAGCAGACATGGGAAGCTGAAGGAAGCAGTATTAAAAAGGCTCAACATGCTGCTGCTAGCAAAGCTTTGAATGAAACAACCCTTCCCAAACCAACTCCTAGACCACCCAAAAATAATGTTAACAATAACCCAGGTATGAGATGAGGCTTGTTTTCTTTTTAATATATTTTTAATATACTTGGCTTTGACATATTCGCTTTTTTATGGGGAATTTTATAGTAGGTCCTGGTAGATCGGGAAGATGGGAATGAGCTGATCTATACTAAGGTTAACATCATAAAATTAAGACTCTAATAGTAAATACGCATGGTAATTCTTTTCATCTGTCATACCAGAGACTGCTGAACAGCATGTTCATACTTTTACAAGACTTAGTTTTTGATAGCAAGATAAAAGCCATTTGTGGCCAACAATAGCCAGGCACAAAATAACTGATTGAAGTGACCATTTTTACTCCAGTAAAAATACTGAAGCTAACAAATAATTTTTAAACTTGTTTTCCAGTAAGAGCCAGTTTACCCAATTTACTCCAATAAAATGCCATTGAAAGTTCAGTAGGAAATCTGGGCACAGAAACCTTCTGTAGATAGGTTCCTACCTAATAGATTTTCTGCTTCGTAACCTAAAATATTTCTTCAGTGTAGTTATTTGAATAAGCAAAAGGACATTTATGGAATCACATGACCTTTACTTTGAGTCACACACAATGCATGTAGCATATGCTGCTGTACTTAAGAAAACAGTTCACAACCTCTGTTCAGTGACTTGCTCTGCAGCTTTTTATTTGATAAAATTATTTGATAGAATTTTTTCCCTTAACTCTACTTGGTTATATACAAGGTACCAGTTTAAAAGGGAAAAGCTCTTTATTTGTTTTAAGGATCCCTTTGTTTCTTTTCACATTTTACCTATTTCCTTTTTGTGAACCACTTTCTGAGGGACCCTTTTTGTAAGTAACCCTTTCTCTGTCTGAGGAGGGCTAGACAGATTTGTCTCAAGAGTTCATCCATAGTTTCCTGAGCATTGGCTGGTAGGGATTGTTTCAGAAAAAGGTTAGGTATTATTTTACATCTCTTGCTGTTTTTGGGATGTGCGCACTATTCTGTCACTCCTTCAGTCCCAGTTGCTTGGGGCTTGAACCTCTTCTGATGTCAGTCAATGTGATGTCTCTTAGAGAGGGCCTCAGATTTAGCTCTTGACTTAGCGGTTTAACACGCGGATACAAGTGTTTTGGCCCGTCCTCTTTTTTAATTGAAAAGAGGTTGAGAAAATGAATAAGAAAAAGATATCCATTAAAGGCTGAAAAAATAAACTGAACATAGTTTATATGTCACTCGTCTTTCTTTAAGACATTATCTCTAGAAGCATAGGCATCTTGTGATCTATTGATTATCTATATTTTTATTGCATAGCTTAGGGGTGGGCAAAATGCGTCCTGGGGGCTGGATGCGGCCCGCCAGACAATTCTATCCAGCCTGCGGGGCCCCTAAAAAATTTAGAAAATTAATATTTGTCTGTCCCTGGCTGCCTATCATGCGGCCCTCAGTGGCTTGCCAAAACTCAGTAAGTGGCCCTCCACCCAGAATAATTGCCATCCCCGGCATAGTTCAATTTCTAGTTATGTAGAATCCAGTTATGCAGTCCTCACTTAGAACCACCCCCATCAGATTTATGTATAGAAGTTTTGTGCAAGTAATGCCTAAAGTCCACAGCATTGTTATCTAAAACCTGAATAACTGGTTGATATGTCCATGGTTAGTGTTTTTGGTATGGATTAATTAATCCATCACATAAAACATCATTTTAGATCCTTCCGTTAACTTAATTTTAAATGGGGTGGAAACATCCAAACTCCTTTTGGAGTTTTCTGTTCTCAAGAAAGGAAATATACCTTCATTTTAATTTGCCAGATGCAGGTTTTCCCTAAGTAGAGAGAAGGACTCCAATAGTAAAACAATTTGAGTGTCTGTATAGATTTGATTTTCAAATAAGGCATTTTATGACTGCTCGCAGCTTCACATTTGACTTTTGGAGATCACAAATGCAGCTGTTTGTTTCCATTTTGAACCTGTTGGCCAGTAGGTAGCTATAGTGGTACAAAATCTTTAAAAGTTTAATGTCCAGTTTATAAGTTATCAAAATAAAGATTTTTCTCTTAATTTTAGTTGTAGATTTACTCTGTCATCTCTTGCAACTGAACTGATTATCTTGACTTTTGATCTTGTTATTAATGTTTGCTACTGGTAATAGATAATTATTTTGTTTCATTATTTGTGAGCTTGTTGTATAAGAAATAGATTTCCTTTATTTTTGTTTTCATATTATTTAATAGCATTTAGTGAAAAGCAGTGTGAAACTTGTAGCTTTGTACCAGTTTCAGAAAGCTTTATGGGTATATCACCGGCATTTTCACAGTTGTTCAGAGATAAATAGCCAGTTTGCTCACTTTCTAATCTCGTTTGTTAAATTTAATATGCTGAAATTGCTAAGAGAAGATTTAAGATTCTTTTTGAATGCTTGGTTACACTTTGTGATTACATTTGGATTTATATCTCCATTTTACAGAGAAATTGATGCAGCTTTTAATTTTTTTTAAAATTTTAAAATTGAGATAATTATGTACACAGACATCTCCTTAATTGACATCAGTGAACGTATGTCTTGCATGGCTAACTTTTTAAGTGCTTTATGTTTACTCTTATTATTTTTTACAGGCAGTATAACTCCAACTGTGGAGCTAAACGGTTTGGCTATGAAAAGGGGAGAGCCTGCCATCTATAGGCCACTAGATCCAAAGCCACTCCCAAGCTATAGAGCAAATTATAACTTCCGGGGCATGTACAATCAGAGGTTTGTATGATTTTTATTATTTGCTCTTCTTTCTCCACCATTCATCTCACCATTATCTCAACATTATAGTTGAGATAATCTATACCATAATATATCTATACCACAAACGTCTAAGGCCAGGCAGGAGCACCCTCAAACACACTGTTGCTCTTGGTGGGCTACCTCTTGACCTAGAAGTAGTGTAGCTGCAGGCATGCAGTGCCATATGCCAGCAAATCAGTGCTCTCTCTCAGCAGTGCCCTAAGGCTGTCAAAGAGTACTACCTCTGACTTAAGGGTATCATACTCAAGGGATGAAGTCATGCATAACATTTTATTTGATTTTCTGTAAGTGCAAATTGAAGCTAAAACTCGGTCTGTGTATATGAGAGCCGTAATTTGTACTTCGTGTGAAGATGATGTCTTCCATTGCTGGTATCTTAGCTGCTAACAATTACTGTGTTTTTAATTATATGGCCTTTCTCGTTTATGGAATTTAGGTGCAAGACGAGGAGGGCTGTTTCTGGAATTTTGTTACAGACCTGTTTTCCAGGGCTTGGTTTATAGCATTCTCAGGCACAAGTTCTTCCTCAGTACACAGCTATTGCTACCTAACGACTTTAGGCTTACTTTATTTTGTACTTTAAAAATCTTCATTCTAAATTTGCCTTTTATTCACTTGCTGGGTTTGTTTGGTTTTTTACTGAATAAGTTATCTTCATAGTGATCTTTACTGAAGAAGTGATCTCCTTGTAGTTAGTATTCCCAAATAAAAGCTTTTTACATTACCATATTTCACAGTGTATAAGTTGGGTTTTGAAACGCAATTTTTATGTCTTAAAAATCAAACTCCACTTGCATACCGTGCCACATCAAAAAATCAGAGATGGGGCTGGGCTCAGTGCTCGGCTGGTACAGCCCCATCCGCTGTGAGTGGCGCTGCCTGGGCTGCACCAGCGCCGCTCGTAGGGGAAGGGGCTGCACCAGTCGAATGCTGAGCCCAGCCTCATCCCCTGCAAGCAGTGCTGGGCTCAGTGTTTGGCAGCTCACAGCAGACAGGGCCAGGTTTAGTGCTTGGCTGGTGCATCCCTCTCCCCTGTCACTGTTTGGCACTCACTGGCGTGGCCCCACCCCCTGCGAGCGGCACCCACAGTGCCACTCACAGGGAATGGGGCCACACCAGCCAAGCACTGATCCCAGCCCTGACTTATGCACCATGCCTATGAAAATCCTTACCTTTCAAATCAGAAAGCCAGGGGTCAACCTATATACTATGTTGACCTGTATACTGTGAAATATGGTATGCCATCCAATTTTGACAGACTTTTAAGTAGCTTCTGAAAATTAAGTGACTAGGAGCTTGTCAGCTGAGCATCTTAATGCTCCCTTGCCTGCCAAAGCATTATACTTTACTAAGAAGAATAAAACTTTTCTAACAATTTGCACATATGGCATATTTTTTATCTGTTTCAAGTAGGTATTATAACTGGGCAAATTAATTATTCTAATGTATCCTTAATTAAGTATAATTTGAGTGTCATGAAACTACCTAGAAGACATTGAGGTCATTAAAGTTACTGTTGATGGCAAACATAAAGGTTTATTTCTGGGTTTTAGGATATTCTTCCTTCTCTTTATTCTCTTTACCTTCAAAGAAAGAAGGTGATGCCAACTACTTTCATGAAAAACGGACTTTCAGGTTTTAGTTACGTTCTTGAATTGGCCAGAAGGAATCTCTGTATAGCACTAAAGCTGGTCAAAATATTTCACTGATACATTTTTCCATCAAAAAAGTTGATTTGCCAGGAAAGGATAGGTTTTCGTGAATTTCAAATTTTGAAAAAACTTTTTGAAAAGTTTTTAAAATCATCAAATGAGGGTGTTTTAACACTTGAAAAAAATTCCATCTTTTTATTCATGATAACTTAAAAAAACTATCGTAACATTTTAAAACTAAAAAGATATTTGAAATCATAACAAAGCATTTAAAATTTTTCCAAACAAAATATTTTGATTGATGTGAAAAGATTTTATATATTTTTTTTTAATTTGTGGTGATTTTCTAAATATTTCACCATGATGTAGAACAGGGAAAATTTTTGAAAATTAGATTTTTCTAAGGTAAAAAAAATCTCAGAAAAAAACTTTGTTGATTCAATAAATTGCTTCTGTCATGTTCACAGGTACAGCCAATTTGATCTATGCCTTGATCTATTCTGCTCTTACTAGATGAAAGTAACAGTCTTTATTAAGCAGTCAGAACTCTTGTGGTAGGGGTGATATCTTTTATTAGACCAAGTAGATGGTTGCAAACTTTTTTCTTTACTTGCGAGCTTTCAGGCTGTCACACCCTTCCTCGGGCAAAGGAGAATGCAAAGACTGTAGAATTTCTCCAAGGTAGAAATTAAACTTCATATTGAACTTCATATTTAATGTCTACCTGGGAGAAATTTTACAATCTTTGCATTCTCTTTTCCCTCAGGAAGGGTGCATGAGCCCAAAAGCTTGCAAATAAAGACTTTTGCAACTACCTAGTTGCTTGGGCACCACCCAAAAAGACATAGATTATATTTAGACCAGGGCACCTCTTCAGACCCAGTCATGGCTCCTGCATTAGCATTGTAGGGCATTGCATGGGTCCTTTTCCATAGCATTTGTTCCAAGAGTTTCTGTGTGAAGGCATTTTAGGACACATGTATATGTTAATAGACTGCTTAATTATGTGCTCTAGCTTTGCTCTCAGGCTTTGTTTTAGGAAAGCTTGAGAGTGGCACCGGGACATGTTCTCTGGAACTCTCTAAGGCAGGGGTGGCTAACCTATGGTATAAGTATCACAAGTGGCATGGGCACCCTCTGGCACATGGCAGATCGGGAAGGGAACAGAAAGCAGCACAGGAGATTAGGCAGAGAAGGGCATTAGAGTGGCATTTGGGGATTGTGTGGGGGGCTTGCTTATGGTCCACCTACCAGAAAGGCTGGTCCCCCTGCTTTATGGCTTCCATGCTGCCCATATGCTGGACATAATGTACGGAGCAGGAGCAAATGAGTTTCCAAGCAGTCCAGGGCTTGGCACGAAAGTGGCAAAAACCAGTTCTGGGGTCCTGTAGCACTCAATCCAATGATAAATCTTGGTTGAATTATTTCCAGGCTTTTCTTTTTCCAAAGTAGTGTCTGCAAGTCTGTGATCAGTGAAAAGCTTGGCAGTCCTTGATGATAAAATAGAGCTTTTAGGAGTATAATCTGCTTCAAATCTGGGGAAAGAAATTGTCACAGTTAATATATCCACTTGGTTCTGGCCTGCTCATAGCTGCTAATAACTGCTAGAACTTTTTATTGTTTAAATAGGTTTATAATCAAGGTAGCAATCTGTCTTGGCATTTGGAATTTCATCAGATATATATAGCTAGCAGCCTTAAAGGTTTGATTTTGAGCTTAGCAGAACTTTGCAATAAATAAAGATTTTTGTGGGCTTTTTTAGATCAAACAATATGTTGTACACAAAAGTAGCTGTGATGATAATCTTGCATTTGCATAATTTCTCTAGGATCCTTTCATATAAAAGAAGCTTGCTAATTTTGACAGAAAAGAAATACTGTATTTACTTAAATCTAAGAAGTCTGAATTTGTGATGACCCCACAATAATTACATTCTTTATATGGAATATATACCATTTTTAGTAAGTTTCCAGATATAGAATCCAGTTATCAGAAGGTTGACTTAAATTCACCCCTACTCTCTTCAGCTGCTACAACAGGGAAAGCGGTGTTTGGGGGGCGGTCAGGTGGCTCCCTTGCCCTCTGCCTCCACCGCTTCTTTTCCTTGCAGTGTCCCTGCCCCCATGATGTCTAATCCCTTCCTTCCCTCCCCGCAGTCTCTGCCTCTTCCCCCACATTTATTGTCAGAAGCTGCTCAAGGTCTGTTTCTCCCAAGCACAGCACATGGGAGCTCAGTCACTGCTGGGCCATGGAGCAGTGTCAGCACTGCTGATTGGCCAAGCAAACAATGGAACAGTGCCATCACTGCTGATTGGCTGGGCAGGGGACAGAGTTTCCATGTGTTCCATGCCTGTGGGGGGGAACCTGGCTCAAGCTGGAACTGAGTTGCATTTGTCAATAGTGGGTGGAAGTGCAGAAGCTGTAGAGGGCAAGTGAGGTGGAGGGCGTAAGTTGCTGTGGGTCTGACTCTGGCCCCAACCCGGGCTCAGGGCCCGAGTCAGAGCTGCAGCAGCCACCTGGCCCCCTGCACTTCATATGTAAATCTAAGATGAGGGACTTTTCCCCTGTGTTGATTGGGTAGGAAACCTCATCTTAGATTTGAGTAAATATGGTAAGTGGTGATGCTTTCAGGAATAAACTGTCTTTTCCCAAAATAATTTTCCCTTAATTCACCAACGACTTGTAGAATGAAGTACATAGAGCTCAACTTAAATATGAGAAAATGTTCCTTGGGTAACAGAAGAGTATTCTTTACTTCATGTACATTGTTGGCAGACATGAAATCTGTTTAAACTTTGAGCTCATTTTTGTATGCTAAAGGTGCAGAAGATGCATTGTTACACTTCTCTGAGTTACCTTTACAATTGTTGCCCACAGACAAAAATGAAGAGATGGTTCTTTTCAAGTTTAAGAAATATCAGGTATATACATAAGGAAAATGTGACAATACATCAGTGATTTTTATGAAACTACATAAAATTTAGCATCTACAATATAGTGTGATTATAAGTGCCTTGTGCATGCTACAAGCATGAAGTAATTTGGTGTTTAGAGTTTAATCCTGGATTCCATTTGTCAACATTGCTAACCTCCATACCGTTCAGAAGGACTGGCAAATGGTTCAGAAGAGGGCTCCGGCCTGAAATAGCAGGTCAGAACTGAGGAAAATTGGCAGAACTGTGAGATGAAACATGAACACACCTAGTCATGCTCTGTCTGTCTCTAGCCAGTGCTATTGATCCTTCATTTTCATGAGTATTCTGTTGACTTACAAAATTAAAAAAATACATGTTCAATCAAGTTAAA